TTCAACTGTTCTGCCATCAGGAAGGAATAAAGGTATATGCAGAGAAACACTAGAAACAGTTGGATGGCTAGGAACCTTTCTTGAATGACCAGTCTAATATCCAAACAAATGGCTTGACACTTACCAGGGAAGAAAATGCAAAAGAAAAAATTCAGTAAGAAAATATATTTTTAACTGGGAAAACAGTTTCATAAGAATATGATCTGGTTATGTCAGGAGTTCCTCGGTAAAAGCGAAGGCTGGTCAATCAAGATAATTTACATTTAGTCTAGGGAAGAATCTTGATGTTAATCTGATTCCTTGTCAGGCTTGCTACAGTTCATGGTTCATGATATTAAATGTCTTCATCTGAGTTCAGAAATACTACTTTCAGTCTTTATTTTACACTCAGTTTAGTGAAGGCTTTTATTTGTTGAATGAATATGCTTAAGTTATTTGCCAAGGCCAGGGCCTTGAAGCATAAGGTGCCTGACCCAGAACTCATTCAGATAGGTGGAACTCTTTTAGAGCAAGAACAAGATAAACATCAGAATCTCCCTTGATTACCTTCTGATATAAGGAAGCAAGAATTACTCTTTTCACTCCTGTTCCCCCATGAACAGGCTATTTCTGCAACTTGATGTGCATGCTGGTTCACTTAAGACTGAATTCAGACTTGTGTTGTCAATAATGTTACACAACAGAGCTGGGTAACTTTTTTACAAACTACAGCATAATCTCAGTGTCACTCACTAATGATTTATGATGGAATTTTTAGTTGTGTTTACAAGTCCTCTTGTAAGAGGCTTGTTGCTGTTCGGTGCTTTAATGAGCACAGCATGATCTCTAGAGGAAATAAACTGAAATTGTCCCTGCATATTTTTAGGAAGTTGAGTAGTCTGAAAGAAAAGAATTAAAATCTGCTTCTTACCTACAGATTTGGTTGGATTCTCATCTCCCAAAGCCCACCAAGAGTCATCAGTTAGTATACCACCTACAAATAGAGCCAGACCCACTTTTAGCTTACCTGTTTTTCTAATCTGCATGTTGGCTGTAGCAGGTACACTGTACCAGTCCATAATCCCTTTTTTCCATTGTCATCTATGACATGCTTTAACAGGTGCATTCTGTTCAATCTGCCTTTCAGTTTGCTTACCTGGAAGGTGGGGCAGTCACCTAAAATGGGCAGACTGAAATAGTTGACCTTTTTACCTTAGTGCTTTTAAGAATTATTAACCAGCAGTAGCAATGTAGATTCCAGAATGATGCAAAATATGATTTGGTTTCTGATTCTTCCTTTATGCATCATATGGAAATAAATTATTAGAATGATTATTTCTGGCTCAATAGAGGCAAATAATTTCCATTCTTCACTAGTGTAACTCATTGACTAAAGAACTTTCTGTTCAGCCTTGTCAATGCTGATTGTAATCAATAGTTTTGTTTTTAACATACTCCCAAACACAAGTGTATTAGGATCTGCACCATTACAGAGTTAGTGATGTGCTCTGGAGCACATATAGTTAAATAGCTCATGTAGCATTTGGGAACACCTCTGAAGTTTTTGGGAAGAGATGGAGGGGACCTCTCAGGATAGAAAAACTCAGAAACCACACATGGCCCTGTGATATGTTGGTCTTTTCTACATGCTGAGTAGAAATTGAGGGTGGCAGCATTTAACAAGGCTCGTGTATTAAGCATTTTGGACTGCCATGGACTGGGCTATTCCCATGCTCTCAAGGCTTCCTGCCTTCAAACAACATGGCTGCATGCAGGCTGTCAGTGGAAACGATCCCTGGGCCATGTTAACTTCCAGACCAAACTTGAGATGGTTCAGGAGAATGTGATTATGTCTGGTTAAACAGTTCCATGACCCTTTCCAACAACTTTTTAAACTTTAAATAGAGTTCTGGGGCCTAGGAATGGATCCTGGCACAGTGTTAAATACAGACATCATGTGAATTTTATCAGGGAAAGGTTCTTCACCCAGGGGGTGGTTGGGCACTGGAACAGATCCCCAGGGAAGGGGTCACAGCACCAGCCTGACAGAGTTGAAGTGATTGGACAATGCTCTCAGGCACATGGTGTGACTCCTGGGGATGATGATGTGCAGGCCAGGATTTGGACTGAGTGATCCTGATGCATCTCTTCCAGCTCAGCATATTCACATACGATTATGTGATTCCATGAATTTATTGCTCTCTTTTTTGAATCAGAGAAGTGGTTTTCTTTATTTCAGTGGCTGAGCCTTAATAAGGATGGTTGTTAAGTTCATTATCTCAGAGCTGAGTGGCAGAGAAATGTGGCTTTCTAATCAGAAAGATGATTATGAGCTGATAAGCTGTTTGGAGGAGGATGTTCAGCCCACTGTGCACATTCTTTTCTGCCACTGTAAGGCTGATTTGGAACTCCATGGTTTTGTTTAACAAAGAAAACAAAAAGCAAACAACCAAGCAAATTCTGAGCAATTACTTGTTCATACTTAGCAATTACTTTCTTAGCAATTACTTGTTCATACTCTCTGTCCTTATAACTTCTGTAGCTTGATGTGGTTGATGCTCCACTTGATACAAACAAAAAAAAAAGTCTTTTAGCCCCTTTCTCTTTACATCTTTTAAACCTGTTAATCAGTTTTGATCTTTCCTATGCACACATTGGCAGGATAAGTGTGAATGATACAGGAACATTCTGCCCTCATGCAGAGACATCCAGGTTGCTTGTTATAATTCAAAGTGACTTTTGGTTTTATCTTAAAGTACCAGTAATTACTTTTGTAATTGTGATGCAAAGCTATGTTTCACTTATTTATATTTGAAGTCTTTTCACACAGAGAAAAGAGTAAAGGGTACATAAAATATAGCATATAAAAACTGTTTCTGACCTACTTCATAAAAAATAAGTGTCAAACATCTTTTTCAGGACGTGAATATATCTGAACTTATGAAGAAGCTAGATATTCTTGGAGATAATGGGGTAACACTTTTTACTATTACATGTATCTCCAGTTTCATGGTTAATTTAAAACATTCTTTTTCCACAGCAAATACTAACATCCAAGGCAGTGCACAGGGTGATGTCTGTGTTTGTATGAAGAACATAAATGCTAAGGAATGGCTTTTACAACACAAAATTTTTAGTTAAAATGATGGTAGTGAAAAGAGTATTTTTTTAAGGTAGGATTTGGTCTTGACCAAATGATACAGAAAACAGGCACTGTAGCAGGCAAAGTGAAAAGATGCAAAACAAGTCAAAGCCAGACCAAGTTGTGAATTATCCCTCTTGAGTAGTAATAGTAGCACCTTTTGCTGTGAAGGCTGTCACTGCCAGGAGTGGATTTTCTGGGAGAAAGGCAAGGAAAACTGTCTCCCCTTTTTCCTCTTTATTGCTAAATACAGTATAAAATCTTAGCCACATGTTTGGGGCACAAGCATCCAGGGAGCTGAGTCCAGTTTACAGCTAGATTTAACAGATTTAGATCTTTTTAATACTAGTTTTAAGTTCTAGATTTGCATGTTAGATTTGCATGTTGCAAGTCCTGTGGAGGTTTCTATGGCCCTTACTCCTTGCATTGTTTTCTTTAATTGGAAGTCTGAAGTGCATGAAGGTGAGATTCACTTGCTGCAAGGCTTAGTCTGGTGAACTGGCAAAAACAGGCAAAAAATTGCAAAATCCCTGACTGAAACCACTTAATTTTTGTTGAATGATCTGTTGAAAAAAATGTTGTGGGGCTGGTGTGCTGAAATAGAGTGCAACTAAGCACCCTTGGTTTAATTTTCCGTGCTTTCAGTCATGGGATCCTTTTGGTCATGTCTATAATCCTAAATGTTATAATTTATTTACTTTTTGAAGTATGGTTAAAACTTACTGCTCGTGTTAAAGGATAAATTTTTAATCCAATTTAAAATGCATCTTTTTGTATTTTAGAATTTGAGAAATGAAGAGCAGGTTGCAATAATCCAAGCTGTGACTGTGCTTTCCCTCTGTGAAAAGGTAGAATTCAGTAAATATTTTTCTCTGCTAAAAATTGGCTGTGTCTTCTAAGATACCTCATAACATTGCCAGGGAAGCATGGCTTTTCTGTTCAGGTCATCTCGATTGGAGCATGTATTCTTCCTTACATGAATGTTGGGATTGTGATGTCTTGAGGTAAAGCCAAACTTAAGAAAGAAACCCAGTTTAAAAATAAAAACATGTTTTGGAGATATTCCCTTGGCATAAAGAACTAAAAATCCACTTAACACAAGAGACTCCATTCCCAGAATTGCTGGTGTCCTCTGGGAGCAGTTGTAAGGTGCCCACGGTCCCTTTTGGGCTCATTTCTTTCTGTGGATGACTGAAAAAGCTCACAGTAGTCAGTGGTCCTTTCCTCTGTAAATTAGTGGACATAGAGAAAAAGTAGTTTGCACAAGATAAGTAATCAATCAGGTCACTCATTTCTCTATGGCTGATTCTTTACTTCCAGAGAATATAATCTGTATGTGAAAGGGGTGACGTCTAAAACTAAGACTTGTACATTTCTCTGAAGAAGCTCTGTGCATCCTTTTCATATGTTTCCATTAAATCTTTCCTGATGTATTGTTGAAATTCAGAATCAGATATTTTAAATTAAAAATTGAGCAGTTTTAAAAATTGCCTTAATTGATATAATTTTGATAATCTCCTTACCTAAATGCCATAAAGTAAATAATCTACATTATGTAATTTAATAATCATTAATTTAACTGAATAATCGCTATAAGCAAAATAAAAATGGGGAAGAGGGCTAAAATCCCCATGGTTTTTCACTGTGCTGTGGCATTAAAAGAGAAGGAATTTTAGCACTTCACAACCAAAAAATGAAAGGAGAAGAACCCCACTATAAAAGGCTAAGATATAGACTCCCAAAAATACTGTTTGTGTCTCCTTTGCCCCTTGGTTTGTGAAAAGCTAACAGACATAGAACGTTCAGGATCAACCTTTAGTTTTACGTATCATTTCCATACCTTAAAAAAAAATTAGACCTCTAATTTTTGCAAATAGCCCTTCACTTAATTGAGGGTAGCTGTGACAGATGCTCAGGATTTTCCATTTACACTGATTTGAAAGGTTCAGGATCCTCAAATATCCATGGTGAGGCTTTTCTTAGGAATATTTTCAGCTTGTCACCTTCAAAATGAAGAAAACAAACATGGTGAATATAGAATCCCTGGGGAATATGGTGTTCCTGTTAATTTTTTTTTCTGTAGAAAGCTAACCTGCTAAGCAGATAAAACAAATATCCATTTTTATTCATCAGTCTCTTAAATAATGGGAGGTTTAAAATGAAGTAATGAATTCATATTTCATAAGTTGTAAACTTATGTTTGAAATTTCTTATGTAAATCTTGGGGAAAAAAGCTAGTATATAATTAATTCCTTTGAGTCTGATGTCTAATGAATTCACCAAAACACTAAATTAAAGAGTTGATGTGCAAAGGTTACCAAAAGACTTAAAGCAGATATAAGTAGCCCAGTGTTAGTAAACAAGGCAGTTGAGGAAAGCAATAATTATCAGTGGCAAATCTGCTCTCTGTAAGCTAGTCATGGGTCCTTATTGAAGACCAGTGGGGAAATGAAATTAAATAATTCAGAACTGACCATTCCCATCCATTCCAATAAACTTAAATGGAAATACTAACATAATCCTGGTGACAGTTAGTAATTGAGCAAGAGCCTTGTATCCATGCATTTAGCTATTACAATGTGTAATTTTTACCTTTGGAATGCAATTGCTGTTCTTCATTCTGATTGTTTTGAATGTCACCATAATGATAAGGGATTAGTAGAAGTGACTACAAGAGCTTCCATTTGTCTGTTTTATTTTTCCCTCTACATGACCAATGTTTTACAAGTGAGCCTTTTCCCACAAAGAGTGCAGCAAACTATGCAGAATTAAGTGTTGAGTTTTTCACCTTGTCTTTTGCTTAAATTGCCCTCTGGAAAAATGATGGACTGGAGGCCTGAAGTGAGGTGATGGTTTCAGAAATCAGGCCAACAAGCATTTGAGTAAGAAACAATCAGGTTGATTTTGCCTTCTTGACCCAAGTCTATTTTGTTTCTTGAACTTTACAGGGAAAAACCCCATTTAATTTTCTGTAGGAAAGCAACCTCCACTTGTTAGTCTTTAGTGTGTCTCTGCAGTCCTCCATTCTGCTTGTGCTCTCACAAACTATTTATTTATGTGTGTCTCCAGAGTGAATAGATAGCATGGGAGGAGTATATGCCTGGAAGTGCTGGCAACAAACTTGAAAAATGTTTGGTAGAACCTTTTTCAAAATCTCTGTTAATTTTCTATTTTTTCTCTTCACACTGCTGTAGTGGTTGAAGCAAATAGAGGGGACAGAAGCTGCACTGACACAGAAGATGTTAGACCTGGAGAATGAAAAGGTAAGAAACAAAAGCTAAAAATTCATTTAACTAAAACTCACGTCAAGGGATTGTGCATATATTTCATCCCAGGCAGGTTTGCTGCCTTTCTCTGCTTGACAGAGATGGCTTCATGGTAAAATAGGCAAGTGGTTTCTAGAACAATCTATTGCTTGTATTCTTTGGGGTGAGACAGAACTTTCAAATCTTTATAGAACAAAAATAGCAAAGATGTAGATGAATTAGGGCACAAAGGAATAACTGGAGAGCACATTAACCAAACAGTGTGAAACTGTCTCTGTGCTTTCTTTGTATATTCATTTGTCAGGCAGCAGCATCATCATTTTAATGTTGGGGTCACACTAGTAGAATTAGCAAGGGTATTTCTTTGCTTTCTGGTACTCAGCTTCTGGACAAGCTGTCAAGACCTCTTACTCCAGATGACCTTTCTTGTCCCACAGCCTTCATGCCTAAAGAGGCATGTTTTCTCAAAAAGCAGTTCTGTCTTGAAGAACAAACTGACCTTATTTTTCCCTATGTTGAACAGTTTTAGAAGGAGTGTTTGGCTTTATTGGTTTACCATGCATGCTGTGCTTCAGATCCTCAAATGGTGTTCCAAACACTGATTAATCCTCACCACACCTTTTACAGGTAGATAAATAAGCAGCATTGCATTCATCCTAAAGAATGGGACAATGAGACAGGGAGGTTAAGTGATTTGCCCAGGGCCACTGAAGAAGTGTGTGTTTGAGCCACAAACAAAAATATAAGTGCTGAGACTGTGTTCTCTGTTGAGTGTAACCTGTCATACTGACTGTACTTTAACACAGATAAGATACTTTCCACATTTAGTATTTATTTTTAAGTCTTGTTATGGAAAAATACAAAGGCTTGAGGAAGGGAAAGTGGCCACAAATTCTAGAGTCTTTTGTAAAGAAAAGTGGAAAAAATAGGAGGTTTATAACTTGATATATTATCTTCCCCCTTATTATCTGTGATGTTTTCAAGTCTTACCATGGAAAGCCCTTGCATCTATTTCTTTAGCTCAGCAATCTGAGAATCTGCATCCCTAATGATTGAATCAATGAGTTGAGAAATTATATTCTAGCATGATACTTTTAGAAGGACTGAGCACTGGTGTAGTAGTCCTTGGAACCCATGTTAAGTGTTTGAGGTCCTATTCTTGTTTCCTTCCCTCTTGCTTTCTGCAAGCAGCCTTTGCTATCCCTTTTGAGAAGTAACATGGTCAGAGCAGCTGCATTGCTATTCTGGGGTCTGGTGGAAGCTCTGACCTATTTTATAGTCTCAGACAAATGAATCTACCTCTGTCGTGTCAGACACTTGTAAGAAAGTCAGGACCAGGCCTGTCCTTTGCTGTGCACTCCCAGTGCATGTTGTACAGTTTCATCCTGTACAACAGCCTTGCAGTTGCTGTAATTCATCCATGTCAGAAAATGAGCCACCTGGGTAGCCATGGTGGCATTCAGTTGCATAAACGTGGTATCTAATACTGTATCACATTGTCCAGAGTTCTGGACTCAGAGTTCTGGAGATGCCCACAAAGGGCTGAAAAATATGTCCTACAGGACTTGTTGGAGGCCCTTTCCCTTCAAAACCAGGAGCATGCTTAGAATATGCTGGAGCAGAAGATTCTAAAATGGCTACCATGGCAATAGATGCCCATCTGTTCCCAACCCCATTCCAGCCCCAAGATCAAGGTCTGAGTTAAACTTTGGGTTTGCCTTGAATATTAATTAATAGGTAATTAAAAGAACTCCAAGTTTACAAAATAAATAAATTAAAGTATACAGAGAACAAATAGCACCTTGTTCCTCTGAATCCTCTAATACTGGTCTTATGTTACTACTGTTACCAGTTCTACACTGGCAACTGACATAACAGTTGTCAGAAGTCCACATATATGTCTGATAGCAAAATTTGGCCAAGTAAGTGACTTTGAGGCAATCCCATATCCAGTAAAACTAATCAGAGCAACAGTATTTTAAATTTTTAGTATTGGTAATAAAAGCTGCAATTAGTGATCTTGAGAACCCTAAGCATTTAATTCAGCATTTATTCTATATGTGAAGAAAATGCAAAAGTTTGTTGCTTAGAAAACAGAACTATATAAAATATTAAATTCAGTCAAAGGGCTTTTCTGCTTTTTGTTCTACTACTAATTATTTTGAGTGTGAAAACCTGCTTTGAAAGAAAAGCTAATAAAATTAAGTAACTCTTTGATGTTCTACTTACTGTCATCAAAGCTGGGGAAGATGTCCCTGCCCATGGCAGGGGGGTTGGATCAAGATGATCTTTGAGGTCCCTTCCAACCCAAACCGTTCTATGATTCTGTGATTCAAAACACTCTAAAGGCAACCATTTGAATGTCCACAACTTGCTTGAAACATCATGTTTTTGATACTGAGTTCTACTGAAACCCCAGTCTGTGGGGTTTATATATAATAGCTGTGAAAGTTAAGGAGTTTGACTATTAAGAAGTAAACAATCCATGCAAATCTTAGGTATTTTAAAAACTTCTTCAGCTCTTCAGCTACTCACTCAACCTCTCTGGGCATCACTTCACCTGTTTCAATTCTCCTGCCTGTAGAAGCTGAGGACCGAGATGTTACTTCAGCTTCAGTGACAGGTCACGGGACGGTGCTGCAGAATCCAGCTGTGGCCCTGCATGCTCGGGTTTCCTCCCTAGAAGAACACATTAGACAACAGCAATTAGGGCTTGCCCCATGACTTCCTTAAGGGTAATAGGGTAATAATTCCATGGGATATTTTCATAAAGTGCCCAGTCTTGTGTTTCTCTTTTCCCTCCCTTGGCCCTGTGTCAGGTACAGCTATTGGACCACATGCATGTACCTCCCCACTCACCTTTTGCTGCACTTCTCTCAGGTCCAGGCAGGTTTGTACACTGGTGCAGAGGTCAATGCTCTCTAGGTACAGCTTGTTAATATGATACATAGATTTGAAGTGCTAATATAGTAAATTTGATATTCCAGATATCCTTAGGATGAATGTGGTCATTTGCTATGGGTTTTCTTTTGCTTTCAAGTGGAAGCTTGCATAAAAATGATGGCATTTATGATTCTTCATGAATTAGGATGAAGAACAAACACTCCCTTGTTTTTATTATTGCTCAGGACCTGTTCAGTAAACAGAAGGGTTATTTAGAGGAAGAACTCGACTACAGGAAGCAAGCTCTGGACCAGGCATACATGGTAGGAAAAGAAGAGTCATTAAATTTTTTGTTTGAACAGATCTGATAAAATGCAGGGTTTGTTTGTTGCTTTTTTTTCCCTTTTAATTATAAAAAGGACTCTTTTTTCTTTATATCTTTTTTTTTTGTTTCCTGCCAGACTGGAAATCAACTATTTCTTAAACAAAAGTTTAGGAAATGGATTATAGTACTTACAAGTGTAACATTTTTGCATTGCATTTTTTATTCCGTGATATGCAAACATCTTGTTGGTACATCTGGAAGCTGGTTTATGTATGAAAAAAACCCATGACTGATAAAATACACCAGAAATTACTTAAGAACTTTTCCAGTATTTCTTTTCCTGAAGCATTTGTAAGTATTACTGCTGCTAACCTATCCTAAATCAGGAGTGGCTGTTCTTCCTATGCAATTCCTTCCTGTGTGATCCTATCCAACCTTACCCTTCCTCATTTTCAAAAGGGAAGCTGCAACCTTGCCTTTTCTCAGGCTAAACAACAATGAGGAATTATCCAGGAATTGGTAAAACTACACATGCAACTTTGCTAATAGTGAGACTTTGGAAATCAAAATATAATGTCCTGAAGCAGTATTTATACACTGTAAATGTTTCTTATGTGGAAAATGTTTTCAGAGAAGAAGCAAGGTCTAATGCTCAGAGCAGATAACAGAGATAAAAGCAAGCAGGCACTATTTCTAACACTGTGACCTTGGGCAAGCCATTTAACCTCTCTGTGCAGCTGTTTATTCATCACTAGTATGGATGGAATTACCTACCTCGCAAAGGTGTTATGAGGGCCAAAGGGATGTGGTCAGATGCTCTTGATCCAAGTATTGTTAGTCTGGATGCTGGGTTTTGATAGGATCATGCTAACCCCAGTAATCAAGGAAACACTGCCAGGATTCCTTCCTTTCCTCTTGGGAGTACAATTCTCCACATGAATCTGAAGTTCTCCTGTGTTGTGTGCTTTGCAAAGTACTGCAGTTTTGGTTAGTGCATGAGAATCATGTTAGGAATCTGGCAGACAGCAAGAGATGGATGAGGGATTAGTGTATACAAGTGTTCCTTCCTTCATTGCTTATGGCAACTTGGAGCTAAGCCAGTGACATAGACAGAGCCATGGCTATCAGGTCACTAGGACAACAGAGAGATAGAGTGAGATTTCTGTTCACAATTTTTTCTGTGGTCTTTTTATTTTATAGGATGGCTTAACAATTCAGCTGCAGTTGAAGGAAATTTGTTAGTTTAAGTTAAATTTGTAATGTTCCGCATCAGGATTTGGAGTTTTATCAGGTACTGAATGCAGACCTATCTTCTGAATCTTAAGTGGAAGAACCAATGATTTGCTAGAACAGGACCCATCTCCCAGGTGTCAATCCGTGCCAGGAGGCTGCGTGCACTCTGTGTGGAATGCTCCTCACTGCTCACGCTTGCTGCTTTCTGTCTCTCTGTCTGTGTCCATCCTGCCCTCCCGCCTCAGCCTCCGCTTGCTAGCCTTCTCCTCTAGCTCTTGGTGGGTCGTTTGCTTGCTGGATTCAAACGTCAGCCTGTCTGTGTGTGATTTGGGTTGCATTAGAAAATCCAGGAGCTGGAGGCCACGCTGTATAATGCCCTGCAGCAGGACCCAGGCAGGCGGGCGAGCGAGTCGCTGACGGAAGCGCAGCGGGAGGATTTGCGGGCGGCGGTGGAGAAGGTGCGGCGGCAGATCCTGAGGCAGAGCCGCGAGTTTGACAGCCAGATCTTGCACGAGAGGATGGAGCTGCTGCAGCAGGCCCAGCAGGTAATCCCGGTTCTCTCTCCACCTCCTTGGTGTTGGTGTTACCTCTGTGGTTGCCGCCACTGCCCGTACGACAGCATCGCTTCACCCTCACCTCGTGGAGTTCTGTTCAGTCTGGTCTCTGTACAGCTCCCGTGTCAGGACCTGGTTGTGCTGGGCATGGTGCACACACAGAACAAGTCACTGTCTCACCACAAGGTGCTGTTGCACAACCTTTCATGTGTGAGCAACCACACAGTCTTCCACAGGACTCCAGTGGGAGCTTGGTGCAAGTTTAAGGCCTAAAGTAGAAAAAGTCAGAAGAGTGTAGCAGTCTGAAAGGAGTAAAGGCAGAAACAGTAGTTACAGGAATCTATTTTTTTTTTATTTTTCCCCCCTTTTTATTTATTTTAGCTGTTCATGAACTCTTTTAAATAAAATAAAAAAGGAAGTCTCAGGAAATCTTTTAAGAGGCCATGTACAAGCTTTCACTCCTTTAAATTCATTCAGAAAAGCCTTGTCTGTCCAAACTGCTTCCTGAAGCACAATTATTGACAACTTAAATAGCAAGGTCCTGGTCTATAGAAGTGTGTTAATTATTTAGTATTGGTAGCATTGCTAGTGTTTTTATGCAAATATTCAGTGAAAGAAGAGAGCTGCATGTCTCAGGGTGTTACTATAGCAGAAATAATTGTTTCCAAGGATGTTGTTTCTCCTTTATAGTAGACTCTGGAAATTGTAGGCAGATGTCCTAGATCTTGAGGACTGCTTGGCTACTTTCTGTGCAAGTCTGAAATCACATATTGTAAATGCCAAAATGTGCTATGCAGATGTGTCCAGAACAATGCTATTTCAGGTGCTGATTCAGGTGCTGATTGAGGTGCTGGGGCAAGAACTGCCTTTAGTTTAGTCCAAGCCTCGCTCAAGTTGGCTTCGTAGATGAATAGAGATGAAAATAATGTAATGTGACCCAGCACTGTTGTGATCATCTCCTGTCATCCTGCAGTGGTGGCAAGTCCTTACAGTGCTAGACCTGAGCTCTGAGTTCCAAGAAGTTTCCTCTCTCTACTCCTTGACTCTGTTGTGTTGGTTTGGAATCTGTAACATCGAGAGCAGTAGATGAACTTGTTTAATGGGTTTTTGGCTAGTCTTAGTCATCAGCAATGGTGCACAGAAAGCTGGAGAAGGTAGGTACCAGCTCCCACTAAAAGCATCAGAGAGTAGGGTAAATATATTAAATTGGGTAAATAAGGATGGAGCCAGAAGATATTAGTTTAATATTATTAGTGTAGCTGAAAATTAGTGAGAATGGAGTTTTAGTTAGTCTCTTAGGCAGTCCAATTTCCTAGCCAGACTGTTGGTGTTTCATTCAAAACAATAACAATGCTTTTCAGTTGGGTAAATACTGTTTGTCAATAATATTTAATGGGTATGAATGATATTGTGTGTTGAGTAATGCTTCTGCACCTCAATAATTGTCAATTTCAAAGTTTAACATCAGACTGGGTATAGTTTGGTCCTTTGCTTTCACCAGGAATGAGGTTTGACATACTTTGTGTCCCTTGTTAGAGTGTATTTTTGAAGTACCTGGGCACAGCCTCTAAGCTGAGCTCATGTAATAGTGGCAAATATAAAGAAAAAAATAGGAATAGACTTGTAAAGCGAAACAGTTGTTCCAGAGGACTCAAAATCCATATTTTATGTATATCTAGGGTTTAATTTAGATTTTGTTCTAATTTGTTCCGTGGCCTGATTGCTATCAATTAGAGCACTTTCTATGCACATCTGGAGCACATCTTATGTTATTCCAATTCATGTGTCCACAGATTGCTTCACAACATAAGGTTAAATATGATGAGTGCATAGGAAAACAAAAATGCCAACATAAACATAGCTTCATTAGCCATGGATGTTTATGTACCTGTCTCCAGATCCATTTTTCAGGATGTCATTAGAGTTTCGTGTTGTGCCCATCTCATTAGACATGCTAATGTTACAGCCCTGCAGGACATGTTAAACTGAATTCCACTCCTTAATAAGCATCTAAGTATTTTTAACCCATATTTTTAACCCACACACATACCCTCCTCCCCACACATTCCCTATTAAACAGGAAAAACAAAGGCAAAGATGCTAGTTAATTTGCCTGGGCTATTGGAAGGCTAATTCTCACAGGATTACTTTCATCTCACTAGCAAATGACAGAAGCTGAATTTACACAAATGAAACCCCATATGAGCTGAGACAATCCTAATGAATGGATGAGGCTGCACTAAGTTAAGTACATCTCTGACAAGTACCCTCCTTTCCTCATGTATTTACATGTCCAGGAAAAATTTTGCTGACATTGTGACATCAGCAAGCACCCACTGCACTTTTTCTGGCAAAACAGTTGTCTAGACTTGGCCAGATTTTACAGTCTGCAGTGCCTCTACAGTATGTGCAACTTCTTCCTCTGCTGAAGAGGAGGTTACAGAGAATGACAGGACAACATGACAAGGCTTCATACAGAGTCTCCTTGTTGCAAACACTGTCAAACTTTTCTCTGAAAGAGAAACCATCTACTAAGGACTCCAAATTCTGTGAAACTTTGGAAATTCAATCACTTCAGAAGGTCTGTTACTTTGCTTTCATTACCTTCTGGTCTGCCTGATACAAGGGCTTCAAAAGAACAGCTCTGCTTATCTGGCAGGCTGGCAACAGTTTTCTCTGAGTCAGTTTCTGTGTCATAGAGTGGGAGTTCAAGGAGATCTGGTGATGAAGAAAGAGTTCCTTCCTTCTGCCTATAAATGCTCCTTGACCACATATGCAGTGTGCAGAATTGGGAGGGCATGTAGTGAAAGCTACAGGTTGGTGTGCAAGGTTACATTATGGATTAATTGCTTCATGCAGGAACTTTGAGGATTCAGCATGAGGTGCTGGTTTCACAGAGCTGGTAAATGTCCTTCCTGGGGAATGACTGTCTGAGAGGGACAGGGATGGGCATAAGGAAATGGGTAAATAGCTGCCCAGGTGTGAGCCTGGGCTGCTTTATGTGTTCTTCTTTGTCCAGATGTAAAACTTGAGTTCTTGACCACCAGGTATTGACTTTATTCCAGTGAAATAAATATATCTTAGGAAGTTAAGCTCTGGATTACATTAG